TAGAAATTAATATTAAATAAATTCTAACAACAGCTGATCAAGCTTAAACGTGCTGCTGTTGTTTAGCGCGACATCCGCTGGTTTCCTCTTTCTGGCACCAAGTGGGCGATAAACAAACAAGAGAGCCGATCAGCTGATCATTGATCAGTTTCATGATTGAACTAGAAACAGGAGAGAGAATGAGAGAAGAAGAGGCAGCTGTGCAGCAAAGACACAGAATAACGGGACAAACTGTTCCTTTTCACCTCAATAAGAAACGCGTAATATTTTCTCTGAATACGAGACGATTCTGTTTTTTACGGGACGGTTGGCAACTCTAATAATTAACCTTATGAATAAAACAAAGTTCATTATCAGTAGCATCATAGCACCACCCAGCTGTATAGAAACTCCGTCATGCTAGCTAGTACGCAGTACGAGTTATTGTAACTGACGGTAAAAAGTCAGCACAAGGAAAATAAACTCCACCTAAACTTGGTTTATATCTGACCAACATAGACTGCAGGTCATAACTTCTTACCTGAAGTTCAGTTCACCTGATACTCGGACCGCTGCTGCCTCAGGTCTCTCCTCCTCCTGCCTCCCCTTCTCTCATCCACCTGCTGGCCTCAGTGGAAGCTCCACCATAGCCACCACCAAACAACTGAGTTATTGTTACACACCGACCAGCATCTGGCCAATCCTCCACCTCTCAGTGTTTATACCGTTGAAGAAAAAAAAAAAAATCATTGGCCCATAAAAACGGAAAATCAGCCAGCTGTGGTCGTGCCATCAGTTAACCCTTCGCACGCGTGCCTGATCTACGGTGTCTCATCTAAAGATCAGAAACACCTTCCCTAAAAGTACAAACTAGCCGAAAGGTAGCATCAGAGCAGCCTCAGTGATCTCCACACTGCAACAACTCGACATGTCTGAGCTGAAATAATGGATCTCTGATTTTTACAAGTTATACGCAATAATCATCAAAAATACCACAAAGAAACACACACACATATATGTCTATGTGTCAGTTTGTGTATGCATGTTTGTGTCTGCATGTATCAGCTGTGCATGAACATGGTTGCAGTGCAGTACCTTGGTATAGGTTGGGAGGTGGGCACCACAGGAACAAACTTGGGACAGTTGGCCATCTGCTCCTGCACCTTAGAACAGGAAGCGATGTGGGTCCTCATCTTTACTAGAGCCACCTGACAGCACGCACACACCTGGGGTTACGACTGTATACTGTACATGTATGTAGAGTCACAGTGACACTGCATGGAGGGGGGGTTGAGTCTGCTCTTCACTTCTATTCATCTTACTCTGACTCTCAGACTGTCGTCCATTTTTACAGTGACTTTCATTTCAAACATTATCACTTCTGACACGTTTGTTTCCTTTTCAGTTTCACTGTTGAATTTGCACAAATGTCCAAAGACTAAAACTATAAATAACAAAGAAAAGATTCACAGTGTGAATTGTGCAACAAATAATATTTGTAACAACACTGAGGTCATTATCTACCTTCTTGTTACAACCCCTGCAGGGTGCTTTATATGAAGCCAGCTGCTT